ATCTAAGTGTGAACCACGTCACCCTGTTCATCATTGTCCCTCTAACACACACACAGAAACATACACATACACACACACACCCTCATACACACATGCACAATGCTCAATAAATGTTTGTGGAATGAATGAATGAATGAGTTGAGTTAATGAAGTCATGTAAAAGACAGACTTAAGCTGAAAATATCTGCTTGCTATTCAATTCCAGAAAAATAACAGGGACTACCAAGAGTTTAAAAAAGGAAGTGAAGAATTTGAAAGTATCATAGGGAAAAATATAAAGATATTGGGAATTATTTTTCTCACCTCCAAAAAGAAATGTATAGTGCAGGCGCATATTTTGCCAAAGCTAATTGTTAAAAGATTAAGGAAGGGCACCTGGGTGGCTCAGTTGGTTAAGTGTCTGCCTTCGGCTCAGGTCATGATCCTAGAGTCCCAGGATCCAGTCCCACATTGGGCTTCCCGCTCAGTGGGGAGTATGTTTCTCCCTCTGACCGTCCCCTCTCCCTCCTCTCATGTGGTCTCTCTCTCTCTCACTCTCTCAAACAAATAAATAAAATCTTTTAAATAAATAAATAAAAATAAAAGATTAAGAAAAAGGCCACCTGGGTGGCTCAGTTGGTTGAGCATCTGCTCTCAGTGCAGGTCATGACCTCAGGGTCCTGGGATCAAGCCCCGTGTGGGGCTCCCTGCTCAGTGGGAAGTTTGCTTCTCCCTCTCCCTCTGCCCCCCTCCTCACTTATGCTCTCTCTCTCGCAAATAAATAAAATCTTAAAAAAAAAGATTAAGGATAAGTAAAGGAATTAAACACACATCATATTTCTACCCTTTTATATTTTACCACCTACTTATGACATAGGACGCAAACTTGAAAACTGTTATGTAACAACCATGTTCGGGGGTCATTAGGCTATTTTTTCAAAGTGGGGTTACATTTTCTTTAATGTGCAGTCTGTGATGATTATTGCCCTCATCTGTTCACATAAGGATTTAGCTCTTAAAAGTGATCTCATGACTATTTCTGAAAGCCCTGTGAAGCTATTTCCTGTGTTCTGTGACTCCGATACCCTCCTTCCAAATCAGATCCCCTTCCTCTGATGCCTGTGGTCCTGAGAGGTGCCATTCCACTGAACACAGTTTATCTCTAACGAAACTACAGCTGTCGCAAAATGTTGACCTCTCCTTTGTACAAAACTTTGAAGTGTACTTTTCTGAATTCTACCCTGTACACAGTTAAAAATCATAGTCAGACTTAAGGAAATGATCAGAGATCAAAAAGAAAGTAAACTGCAGAAAGGCTCTACAATTGCTTTTAGATATGAGTGCTTGCAGAGCCCAGAGTTCCTGCCATTTGGAAATGTGTGGTTGACTTCCTGTAGGCCAAGGAGGTGAATGGGGGATGGCAACTTCTGACATTGGTTACACGGGAATTGAGCGTTAATTTATTGTGGGGTTTTTCTAGGGGTCAGGAAAGAGAAATTAATTTTGAGTAGGTACCATCAGATACTGTTAGGTTTTTAAAATATTATCTAATCCATATACATTCATATAAAAAATTGTCTGTGAATGTTCATGGTGGCTTTTATTCAAAAACTAAAAAGTTGAAATAATCCATATGTTCTATGGATGGATGGATAAACTAACATGTGGCTTATCCATACGATGAAAGATTATACACCCAAGTACAGGAACAAAGCACTGATGCATGTTACAATGTGGGTGGCCTTTGAATACATTCTGCTAAACAAAGAAGCCGTACCCCAAAGACTGCATATTGTATAATCCCCTCCATTTGAATTCTCCAAGAATATAAAAATCCACAGATACCGAAAGCAGATTAGCAGTTGCCTAGAGATGCAGTGTGATGTGTTGGGAAGTGGGGGGATTCTTTTTTGGGGTGATGGAAATGTTCTGGAATTAGATAGTGGTGAGGATTGCACAATATTGTGAATGTACTAGAAGTCAGTGAATCATATACCTTAAAATGGTGAATCTTAGGTCATGTGAATTTTCTTTAAAATGGTGGGAAAATATGAACTAATCCAATATACAATACAATGCTGTAAGGTAAGTATTTTAAAGATAACTTTTAACATGAGAAAACCTGATGTCAGATAAATTAAATAATTTGTTCTTGAACAGTACAAGGAAACAAAGTGCGGATTTCAAGCTTTTACTCCCTTTATACCACAATGCTCCACTAGATGAATCTTAAGCAGCTTCTTAGTAAATGGGTCAGTCAATAATATATAACAAAGGTAACCTTAAATATGTCCTTCCTGTATTTTCCATCAATATTTTCATAATCCATATTTATTTGAAATTGCCAAAGAGTTCCTCCAGTTGGCTTCCACTGTATTTTCTATTACTGTGTTTGAAGTCTCTCTAGGACAGGCATCTGATAGATCTCTCTTTAAATTCCCAAAGTGCCTACTCAAGTCACACTACACTACATATTTCTTTTATGAAATAATGCTACTTTTTATCGACATGCATTATTTTATGTTAAGGGTTTAATGATCCCCCTTAAGTAACTTTCTTTCATGGGGTTTATATGACTCATATTCTTTTAAAATATTTTGGTTTTATTTATAGTAATCAAGTATGTTATGAGATTTCAAACATTAACATTTTAATTTTAAGAAGTTTTTATAAATAAAAGTAACTTGTGTTATCCAAACTTTGGCACATGTTTCTTATCCTTAATGTAGTAAATGCATTTGCAACCAAACACACAGGTATTTTGTTTTGTTTTTTGCTCGGAACCTCTCACTTCCAGATTCAGAATATTCACTTGACCTTGGAAATGTGTTCTTTCTCCTGTTTAGCTCTTTGTAGAATAGGATAACATTGAGTTCCCAGGAAGTGATGGTAATGTCAAAAATTACAGCCTCATAAAAGCTTTAATTCTCACCATAAAAATAATATATAAAGGAGAGAACTATGAGGGTGCCTCACATATTGCAATGTCAGGTTTAGGAGCACTACTATAAAATTTATAATACCTATCTATTTGATAGTAGGTAAGAGTGCAAGCAAGTGTTGCTTAAATATAGCTAGGTTATAAACAAGTGAATGCTTTGGGGAGAGAGTTTGGGACATGTTTTGTGGTATGAAAAAATGTCAAAGATCTGCTTTTTAAAGACCCTGTTTCTTTAAGATGCCTCTCTAAAAATTAACATTTATCATTAAAACATAATGAGTCAAAATTATAAAATATGGCATGGTGTATGTATATATGGGGGAGTGCAGAGCTGTGATTAACTGAAGATGCAAAAACAAAGGATAGAGAAATGAATCTACCAAAACAACAGCTGGACTGGCATAAACAGAAATGGACTGAGCAACAAAACATCTGTAAATTCAGTGCACCACACACCAGATTAGGCAGAATTAGCTCTGCTTGGCCAATGATATGCCTCAAATCCCAGGTTGTTGAGGGGATCTGGGTCCACTAGGATCCCTTCCCTACCATTCTGATTCTAGCTGGAAGAAACTTTGTCTTCAAATTCTGTCTGTGCATTATTGGAACACAAGACCAGGTTTTGAAAGCGCATGATAGCAGATAGGCAGGTGGGACGGTTCCTGGTGCCTTTCTGTGGGCTCATGTCCTCCACGTGGGCAGATTAACTGCTTCCTCATAGACCATTCAGCAACAGGTCTTTTTTTCCTAGCACTTTACCGACAAATGTCTTTGGTGTTTTTTGTTTTATTTTGTTTTTTAAACATTTTTGCTATTTCTAAATAATCTGTTTTGGACAGATTATTATAAAGTCTACTGTTTTGTTTCGGAGGGGCTGTCTGCTACTTGTGAGTTTTTCCTTTCATCCTGCATCATTTTGCTTTCTGCCATTAAATACTTCACTAGAAGAAATTTTCTTTTTTTCTGCATATCTTTTATTCTGTCTACTAATTTGAAACTATTTTTCCCCAACTTATGTTCCTATTCATGTATCTGTGCCCCAGCCCCCCGTGCCACCCCATAGCAGCTCGTGTACCTCAGGGAATAGACCATAAACTCTGTAATAGTCCAGAGGTGGGTGTCAGTAGAAAAGCAAAAACAAAACAAAACAAGCAAACCGACCAACCCCCAACTAATTTTCCTTATTTGGGTTAAAAAAACCTATGACCCAGCCTGGTCAAAGAAACTTCTGGAAATTTTCTGAATATTTTGGGAAAAGTTTTTCTCCATTTTGCATTTCTCCAAATGCAAAAGCTTGTATTTCTGTCTGCTTCTGCTGGCCATCCCTCAACAAGCATGGCGACTAGACTAAGATGAAGTCAACCATGTGGATGTGGAGAAAAATAAATCTGGAAGCTCGATGACTTCATTAAGCCACTGAATCGATAAAACCTGATCTTCTCTTTAGAGCTGTGTATTCTCTTATGAAAATTAGTTAACTTTCATATTTTCAAAGCTGGTTTGAATCTGATTCTCTGTTACTTGCTCCAAGAGCATATGATCTGATATACACATGTTCATATTTATCTTATATCTTAATAAATTGTACATATTCAGTCATTAAATAGTGACATCATACTTATTGGATGATCAGAATTTTTATTTTATTTAATTTTTTTTAAAGATTTTATTTATTTATTTGAGAAAGAGAGCACAAGTGGGGTGAGGGGCAGAGGGAGAAACAGACTCCCCTGAGCAGGGAGCCCCACACGGGGCTCCATCTGGGGACTCCGGGATCATGACCTGAGCTGAAGGCAGATGCTTAACAGACTGAGCCACCCAGGTGCCCCCAGAATTCTTATTTTAGAGCATCTGGTGGGCTCTTGTTCTCCACGGCCAGTCGCTGGGCTTTTTCTGAGCACATTTTGCCCTATTAACAACCATACTAAGGAACTAGATGCTTTGTTGCCATGTTATTTTCCTCCAGAGTGTGGTACCTTAGGGTTCACCATCTCCAGCCTTAACATGCTGCCACTGACTGAATATTTAAAGTCACAAACAGTTTTTCAGTGTATTCTATTGCTGGGGTGTATTCACATACTGAAGGCTCTTGCCTTCCAGGAGTTTGTCGTCTGTTGAAAGATGGTGCCATCACGTCTGCATGGCTTCACCTCATTGCCGGATGACACACCACTTACTCTTCCCCAGAACACCACAGAGACGGAAAAGTGTGAACTGAAAGCAAAATGAAAAAGAAAATCTTACAGTAAAATAAGCCAAGTATATTAATTGTAAATTTCATCCTCTGCAAAGAAACAGATAAGTGATGGCCTTCCCAGTCTATCAAAGTCACAGAGTTAGAGCCTCTTCTGGAAGAGCTGAGGATTCATGTGAATGTCGTTTGCATCACAGAACCGGGCATTGGAGAATCCCTTCTTCCCGCGCACCTGGGTGCAGGTTTAATATGCTGTTGAGTTCTTGTTTTGCACAGGAAGGCAGTCATGAAACACATGCCATCCTGAACACCTGCTCTCTAGCCATATGAATATTTTTGAACGCTGCAAAAATAGGCAGAGAGTAGGTGCAGATACAATTACTGCTACAGATTTGTAATTTTCGAAGGAAAATTGCAGCTTTCGTGACTGCTGTCTAAATTTAGACGAATGAGAGCAGAATCAGCAAAGTAAGTTTTTGATGTATATATGTATAAATGAAGAGTTTGCATCAGAATCTAGGTTTTCCGGTTTTCCAGTTTTCTCCCTTTAAAAAAAAAAAATCTTAATACAAACATTTTAGAAGATGGAGACTGAAGAGTAAGTTCTAAAATTATATACATCATGTTTTATTCCCTTGATGTGGTTTATTTAGCCATTTTATATCTGAGAAGTGAATGTAACACTGAGCCATGGAATACTGGAGTAATAACCCCTTCCTTTAAGTGGGATTATTTTTACACACTGTTGAGAAGCCGATGAAAGCTATAGAAACTCTCCTCAGAAAAATAAATAGGCACGCCAAAACTCCCATACAATTTTAGGTAATTATGGATTAGTTCTAGCTATTTAATATTTGATATACTAAACAGCCTTCCCTCCCTCAAAACATAAAGTAAATAGAAGGAAAGATGTACTTTGAAAAAAAAAATAGATCCAAAAGTAAATGTAATTGAAGAACTATCTTCTTAGCATCTTCTAGCAAATAAAACATTCTTAAAGAACAGAATTTTTTCTTTATACCTAATTAAGCACTTAACTGTAGGAGATTCAAGGTTTTTTTCAATTATGTGTATACACAGAAAAATTCAGCAAATATACACTTTTTCATAAACTTCACGGTATTTAAGATGTCATCTGTGCATATGTAAATATATTTGATTGCATTTAGGATCCAAATATAGTGGTTTAATGAAAAACATGTTTCCTCCTCACCTTCCAGGAAGCCTTTATGTTGACATTCCAGAACCAGCCAAGTGTCTCTACATCATGAGTATCTCAGGATCTTTCTTCTGCTCATTGTCTTTGACAGGAGACTCACATCTCACAGCTTCCTGCAGTCACAACAGGGGTGCAGTCTTTGGTCTGCACTGAAAGCAGGAAGGAAAATATGAAAGAAACCTGCTTCTGTGGAAAGCGGACTCCCTGGCCAGAACTGTGTCACTAGGACGAACCCAAAGCCAGGAAACATATTCTTGTAGGTAAGTGCATTACTGCTCCTCATGAGATGACGATCCTGCTAGGAGACATGACAGTAAGGATGGATATGGAAGACAACTGGCAGTTTCTATAATAACTGCTAATATTTTCATTCTTCTTCTTCAGTCACTTTTTAGGTATCTAGATATGAATTACTGCACATTCTGAAAGTAGAATCTTAACAAGTGGGCACATTTCCTAAATTGACAGTAACAAGAGAATAATTTAGGTATAAAAGTTATGAAGGATTTGTGAAGAAAATACACCTAATTCAAGTGAAAGTGGGTGAGTTAATTAGAGGATATTCATCCACATAGTTTTCAGTCACAAAGAATGAGGAGAGCAGTTTTCCCAGAGGTCATCATAACATTACCTGTCTTTATGGTGTGCTTACTGTTTGCCAGACACTGGGACTGAATGTCTTATGCTTTATTTAGCCCTTGCAACAACTTTACCAGGTAAGTGCTACAATTATCCTCACTTTAAGATTAAAAAACAAAACAAAACAAAACAAAAAAACAGTTGTTCAGAGAAGTCAAGTAATTTTCTCAAGAACACTCTGATATTATTATGTTTTGCTGAGAATTTAACACAGTTCTCTCCAATGCCAACCACCCACACTTCTTACCAAAATGTAGCACTAATTTATCTATAAGCAAAACTGTGGAAACATGGAACTGCTTTCGAGGGGTGGGGAATTTCAAACAGTCCCGTGTTGCTAGAAAATAAGTAGACTCATGAAATCTCAAGAGAAATGTTCAGAGAGGAAGAATAAACGAGCTCACTTAATAATTTAATTCAGGAGAATCTACTAGAGGATTTATGCAGGGAGATGTCACATAGCAGTGCTTCTCAAACTTTAATGTATGTACAAGTCATTGGAGATTATTAAAATTTAAACTCAAATTCGGGGGTGCTAGAGTGAGGCCTGTGACCTCATTTCTTTCTAGGAAGTCTTCCCCCCTCCCGCCCCCCTCCCTCCCGCCCCCCCTCCCCCCCGCCGCCCAGAGAAACTCTACTGCTGTTAATGCTGCTGACCTTGAGAAGGAAGGTCACTGATCTCTCTGGAAGTACTGCAGAGAGGATTTTGAGGGAAGCTCAAGACATATTTGTTGAAGAACAAGACAGCTTTGAGTTAGGGATACCAGTTTATAAGCTTGTGGGTGCCTCACCATGTTTGTGGGATGAGGATGAGACAGGATCATGTGCAGAGACTGCAGTGTGTGTAGATTCAAGCTGTGGAAAACAAAGATGAAAGAGGCTTTGACTCCATAGAAAAAACTGAGTCTAACAAGAAGTATATGAATTGCACTGTCTTTGCCAGCAATGATATGGAACGTAATGGTGTCAAAGATTTGAAGAAATCAAATCGCATCCATCCCCCATTCTCCTGTAGTCTCTTGCTCCTTTGGAAGGCAATAATGATTGTGTATGTCCATTCAAAACAAACCCTTCTGATTTATAAGGAGCACTTTCCTCATATCAACCATAAAGTAACACATTTTTACCAATGCTATTCAGAGTAGACCATTGCAGTAGTTGTAAAGAAAATATACACATGAAAGTTTCAGCTAGGAGATGGTAAGTATCAGAGCTAATGTGCATGGGCTGAGCAAATTTCTGGTAGGACAAATATGAAGACATTAGTTGTAAATTAGCTTATTGAAGTGCATAATTGGGTAATGGCAGAATAAACGGGCACATCTAAAAACAAATCCAGTAGCATAATAATTTTTATTTTGTGTAGTATAATGCAGGTAAAATAAAGCAGAAAAACAAGAACAAGAAACTGTCTCCTGGCCACAGGGACTATGGTGCTCTTTGTGCTTATGCCAAATTTTTAGAGTTTAATGAAGAAAAAAGAATATAAATGTCTCAAGTAGTGTCTTTTGGCTTCAGTGTACTCATAACTTCTCTTAATTAAAACAGAACCCGGCTAAAAGCAAAATCTGCCTGTTCAACAACATTCATTCATCCGTTCATTCAGAAAATATTTATTGAGTGCCTGCTATTATCAGATACTGTAAAAGGTTGTGTGACTTCAGCAATTAAACAAGACTGAACAAGGCCCCAGCTTTCCTGATGCTTACACTTGAGTGTTGGGGGGGATGGGAAATAAACAGAATTGAAATAAATAGAAGGATAATTTCAGATAATAGTAATGAAATAAAGCAGGAACATTGAAGAAAAAAAAAAAGATCTGAGGCAAGAATCTAACTCAAATTTGACAATAATAAAAGCTTTTGAAAAACTGCCAATTCAGGTGAGATCTTAATGATGAGAAAGCCACTGTTGAAAGATCTGGGGAAAAGTACATGTCATGCAGAAGAAATAACGCCTGGGCTCTGAGGTTTGGGTAAGGTTGGGATGATCAAGGAGGGGAAAGAAGGGTAGAGACTGAGTAGTAGGAGAGGCCCCAGGACAGAGTTAAGATACAGGAGTTAAATCACACGGTGTACTGGACATTAAGGCAAGGAGCTCACACTGGATTTTAATGTGACAGGAAGCACGTGACAGGTTCAAGTTTAGCAAGAAAAGTGATCTGAATTTCATTTTTAAAGAAATACTCTGGCTATTGAGTGGAGAATCGTTTGGAAGAGGATGATAAACAACAGAATAATAGAAGTCTTCAAACTGTTCAAGGTAAACTGAAGAGTTCTGACATGGTCCAGTCGATGCTGAAATGCCTATTAGATCTCGAGGGGCGATGTCAACTGGGCAGTTGTCGTTAAGGGAGGTTGTGTTTAGACAGCTATCTGAGAAACAAATGTAGATGGTTTTTAGAACCACTGAGGCCAAAGAGAGAACAAGAAGTCAGCAAAGGAGACTGAAAAGTATGGGAGGGAGTGGAGAAAATCCACCCCCCCACCCCCCGCCAGAATGCAGCATCACAGAATGAAAGAAGTCACTCTTTCAATGAGGTGCAAAGAGGGAACTGTGCAGATTTCTTCTGGAGCTCAGTTATGGGCAAGACAAATGAGTGGTCACCGACTTTCACCATCTGAAGCAGCTGGGAACTCACAAGAGTTTCACTAGAACCATAGGATGGAATTCCAAGGGAAGTGAGATGCAAGGAGAAAGTGGACTGAATAAATTAAAACATATTTTTATAGGAAAGTTGCACTGTAAAAGAAAAGAGAAAAATAAGGTAGTAGCTGGAGCAGGGTGCACAACTGAGGGTGAGGTTTATTCTCCAGATAGGGACACATAAATCATAAATAAAGTTAACCCTTAGATTATACTCAATGGAACAAAAAAAAATTCAGAGTCTTAGAGCTTCCACTTCTTCCATAAATATCATAATTTCCACCTATCAATAAATTTAGCAACATAAATCAGATCTCTGGGTAAGGAATTTCTTGACAGTAATTACCTATAGACAATATTTAATGTGACTCCTTTTTTTGGAGACACTACAAATATAACACACAATAGATACAAATTTTAACAAATTTGTAAATATCTATTTAAAATGTTGCCACATTTGATTTCTTTCCCAAATGCAGTTGAAATTGCATTTCAATTTCCTTTACTCTAGAAAAA